ATTTCTTAAATTTATACAAAATATTTTGGCACAAAATACTAACAATAAATGCTTTGGACTTTCACTGCTGTTGATAATTTTAACAAAACATAAACTGAAATATAAATGGGCCCTGTTACCCAACTTCATATCAGTATTTACCAGATCTAGTACAAAATAATATTATCCACAATATATTTTTTCAAAAAGATCACAAATTTCTCTATTGCGGAGAAAAAAAGGCACAAGAATATATTCACAGAACATGTTACATAAGTACAAATAGCCAGGCTCTTGTAAGCTCTCTACATAATTCCTGAAAAACGAATCAATCAAAAATCAGCAGTTCAAATCAACATAGGTAACACAACTTACTGTGATGACACAGTCTTCCATACCATCCTTGATCACAAGAACAGGCATTGCCAACACAAGTACCATGTTTACAAGGTAGATGGCAGTTGCTTCTGTGTGGTTTTGCTCTTCCAATTTCGCAGTGATCTCCTCTGAAACCTCTCGGACAACGGCATTTGTTCACCGCTTTACATTTTCCACCGTTCAAGCAAGGAATGATGCATCTCGCTGGAAATAAAAACACTGTTTCGAGAGTGGCACTTTTCATTTACAATACTCACAATATTCACATCTCGGACCATAGTAACCCTTTGAACACTCGCAAGTGTCTTTCTGGATACATTTACCTCCGTTCAGGCATTTTTGGCTACATATTCCTGTAATTAATTTTTTATGTACTGGTTAAAAATGTTAATTTTAGACAAACTAAAATGAAAAACAAGTTTGATGAATCTCACATTTACTGGGGACCTTGTCCATCGTTTACCTTTTCATTACATAATGAATGAAGAGAAAAGGCACAGTCTCGAAAAAAACTGATTCAAAATGTTTATGAATCTCCTCTTGAAATATTGAAAAATTAAATTATTGACACACAATATGTGTCACTCCGAATGACAATGATGAAAATACTGAAAAGTAATAGGTTTAAATGTGTCCCTTGGAATACTTTATAGAGTATTATGAACCCAGAAAATCTAAAACCATTTACTTGATTGAATTTTGCTTACTTGCAACTGAATCATAAGTCAATAAATTGATGGATATAGCCGTTACTACGTCGTAGGAAATCATAATGAAGAAAAGAGTAATGAAACTTTCTATGTTTTTACCACTTTTATTTCTAAGTAACGTTATGGCAGTTTCGTCCTATACTGACATTTTCAAACTTATACAATGATTCATTACATTAGCCATTATATACCGACCCTGTAGGTTCTAATAGAGGTACTTGGCTTGATTGAGTAACTGAATTTACAGTTCACAATGCGGATGTGCCAATTTAAAAACCGGCGAGTAAACTAAATCGATTTGATCATTCAACAGGTTGCACCCGCAATGTTTATGCTTGTGAAGTTTCAAGGATTCTAATGAGTTTGTAACTGGCATAGTGTGACATTTCCGTATCGTTTAGATTCGGAAACTTGTGGTGGCATGCCAAGGAATGGTTTGAAAACGTCGAATCATTTTTTCCTAGTCTAAAGGACCTTCCATGTTCAGCATGCCGTTTTTTGAAATTTTGGCCACATTGTTCCATATAAACACTATTACACTATGGACATTTAAGCTTATGAACTCCAGATTTCTCCAACTTGTCCACCTTATCTTTGGCATTGAAAACGAAATGATATAACCTGGCATTTGGTCTGAATGCTACTTCCACATTGTTTTTTCTGAAGAAACTCGCAATTATCTCTGTTCTTTTTCCAAAATATGTTAAGAGTTACCCATTTCTTGATTTCTGGTTGTTTGACCTGAGAGTATATTAATCTGTAAGTGAATTTCCGGCTAACAATCTAGCTAGGGAGATTGATATAATCACACAGATAGGTCGTAATAATGGTTTCAACGCAGACACAATCCAGAAGTTAGTCAGAACACAAAGCCGTAGATTCACTTACAGATTAATATACCCCCGGATCAAACAATCAGAAATCAAGAAATGGGTAACTCTAATATATTTTGGTAAAAGAACAGAGATAATTGCAGGTTTCTTCAGAAAAAACAATGTGGAAGTGGCATTCAGACCACATGCCAGGTTATCTGATTTTCTTTTCAATGCCTGAGTTAAATTGGAGACGATGGATAAGTCTGGAGTTTATAAGCTTAAGTATCCGGAGTGTAATAGTGTTTATGTGGGACAATGTGGTCGAAATTTCCAAAAACGGTATGCTCAACATGAAAGGTCCTTCAGACTAGGAAAAAATGATTTGAATCTAAACGACACAGAAATTTTGCACTATGCAAGGAAGGGTTACAAACTCAATTATTTAGAATCCTTGGAAATTCACAAGCATAAACATTGCGGGTACATTGATCAAATCAATGTATTTTACTCGCCGGTTTTTAAATTGGCACATCCGCATTGTAAACTGTAAATTCAGGTACTCAATCAAGCCAAGTACCTCTATTAGTACCTATAGGGGTGGTATATAATGGCTAATGTAATGAATCATTGTTAGTTTATTGTATAAGTTTGAAAATGTCCGTATAGGACGAAACTGCAGTAACGTTAGTTACAAATAAAAGGGGTAAAAAACATAGAAAGTTTCATTTCTCTTTTCTTCATGAATCATAAATCACTTGTATGAAAATGTTATATCCGCAGCTTGAACTTGGCGATCCCTTCAAGATCTTTGAAACATAGTTCAAATAAATCATAAGATTGAGCCCAGTTTATCATTTTGGAATAGTTGATTAGTTGGTTGCTTGATGATAACTTTCAGAAGTATGTGAAAATATGCTTTCATTAGATCTAAAAGTGCTATTTTCTACAACACAAAATTCCGTCTGTAGTTGGTAACACCAGTAATAATACAGCATAGAATTCAACTTTTCTCTAGTATTTTAGTTTGAAATATTTTTTTTCCTCTGAAGTCGCTAGATATCCACACATTTCTCACTTATACACTTACTCACAGTGAAAAATTATCAGCTTACCTCCTACACAATGGCCGCCTTGAAATCCTGGAGGACAGCTACATATTCCAGGAGATGTACAATTACCACCGTTCATGCATCGTGGATAGCATAAAGCTGTTCGGCAATACTGTCCCATGTAACCTTCAGGACACTGACAAATTTTTTCATGATTGCACCAACCTTGATTTGCACATTTTTTATCACACTCTGGATCTGGGCCTTCAAAAATAATAAGAAATTTGCAATAATTTTAACAATTTACAAATGTTGTCGGCGATCTTGCAGTCCCCTTCGTCAGATCTGCTGATTCGAAAACATTTTTCTAAACTTCTACTTCTGCAGAGTCCTGCTAATCTGACAAGATGACTAGTACCTATATGGATTGAAAGGAATCGTCTCTACAATGGAACTTACACATATTTTACTCACTTATGTATGCTTCATTACCTCATATGTCTTATTGACGAAGCTTTATATATAATTGGGATTGTAGATATACTAATAAATCAAAATGATGAAAATTTATAGACGAAGTACTCAAAAATTTCAAACCGTGAACACGTGTTTCTGACTCATTGGCCTCATCAGTACAGTGTAGGTAAGTGTAAGAACGAGCCACACCTAGTAGCAAGAAACAATACAAATGTACAGAGTCATCAACAGAGGTCAGCCACACTTTGTAGTTTCAGTCAGATCGCCTCGGGTGAAAGGCTTCACCAACCTGTGTGACATACGAATCCAGGGTATAATACGATATGGTCTCTGAGTGATTATGATACAAATCAAAATGATGAAAATTCATGGACATGGCTACACCATATTGACAAGGCCAATGAGCTAGAAGACGTGTCTGCGGTTTTCAATTTTTGAGCGCTTTGTCCATCTTGTTTTATATATTACTTAATTTTTTATATTACTTTATTTAAGAATCTTTCTTTTTTATAATTCGATTCTTCGTTTGTTAACTGTTTTGTAAATAATTTTCAAAATTTATATTTAATAATGCTTTTATATTGTTCTCTCTATTTGCACACTAATTTGTACCAATTGTCTATGACTTGTCACAAATATATATACATGACGTGATTAAATAAAAATCTAAAATCTATATAATGTTTCAGCATAGTCCTTCACGGATGGTTTCGCATACATAAGTGTTATCTTGGGTGTATCTCCATCTGTTTGGTAATGTATGAATAGACAAGCATCGACAATGACGACATCAGTTTCAACTTCTGCTACCAAGCAGAGCACATGAATATGGAAAGTGCAATCTTTCCGAAACGTTGTGAACAGATGGACACAAGGGATAACACTTCAGCATATATATTTCTATCAAAATTTTTAAAGTAACTATTGTAGGTTTTCTTATATAAATTTCATTCATTTATTGTTTGCTTCCTTTTTTCTTTGTTTGAAGGTGATTGATAATGTTTCGTGAAGAATTTCATTAATTCGGACTTCCATTGTCTAAAATTCAAAATGAATCATGTAAGTAATGAGTATCCTCCATTTTATGTCTATCATAATATTGCACTCAAAGTATCATCAAGATATTCTTGCAGGTCATATGGTCTTTCCAATAATACATATTTATTGTCTGTTCTAAATGAATTATACTTTCCAGTTTCCCTCAATACTACTGGAAGACAATTATATAACTTAAGACCATCATGACTGATATTTTTTCATTTTGTATGTTGGCATGGATCAGTCTAAGATTGTTTTTATCCTTATGGATAACACATACAGATTCAAGTATGAATATCAAAACTACTGTTGAAATTTTATATTGCAGAAGGAGAGGTTTACAGCAATCTTGTGGCTTGGACTTTGAGAGGTATCTTACTGCTTCTTTCTGAGCCACAAAGAATGTCTAAAATTGTGTGACTCTACACATTTCCCAAAATGCAGCGTGATAGGGGCTGATTATGCTGATTTCAACTGATAGTGAATATAATTCACCAAGAAAAAGGCGCATGGCATAGCATTTAGCGATTAATTTCTTCGATAGCATAAGAAAATAATTATTTTGATTTAGAATTTAAAAACATTAACCTACACAGTAGGTTCTGGTTTCCCGGCTAATACCATGCTCGACATTGAATTATATTCGACAGACATTTATGTAAGAAACTCATGAAGGTTAGTCTTGCAGATGTTAAATTTCATGTGCTTTTAGGGGAGTTACTTTATTTAGGGATGTCTTATGCGTATTCAGCAGAGAATTCACTCATTGGTCCATTCGAAATGATATGATTATCATTGGTTGGCTACAAAAGTGCATCAAAAATTTCTGAATATAGAATGAAGAAAATAACTTTTGTCTAATTTCTACTACCATCGAACAAGTTGAATATTGCTGAAATTACTTTTTTTTTGGTACAAACTGATGCCGATTAAAAAAAATATCAAATATTGACTTTGAGAAATAAGAAAATTTTAATAAAATGTCTTACTCCTCTGTGCACATTCTTTCTTCAGCTTCAGCCTTAATGGGGTTCCGTAAAGTGGTTTTCCTTTTCTATTTTCAATAAGCAGTCCTATTCCAAATTTTGCTATACCGGAGCTATTACCAAGACAAGGTAAAAAAATGCTAAATTCTTTGCGTTGCCTAGGTACTCGTCCTTTCGTTTTGATGGAAATAACGGGGGCTTCAAGTATACTTTCATCGAATGACTGTAATCTATCAAAATTATAATAATATCTTTTGCCCTCAGATTTCCACGTGAAATTCACATAACTGACTTCGGACGGGATCACTGGAAGATACTTTTCAAAATTTGGGTCCAGTATATAGGGTAAAACATTTCCATTAGATATGGCAAATATCTTCATAGGTGATCCTAAAAAACAAATTTAATGGTTACAAATATTAGGTTGATTCGAAAGTTTTGTCCATTTTAATGTCACGTGTTTTTGTAGCTCCATATATCAACAAATATTTATTCTAATGTGTCGTGGTATATATTGATCGATGAAGAATTTTGTACTTTATTCATCTTTTTGCATCATTACTATTTGATGTCGTTAGGCGATTTTTCTCTACGAGTTCAAATTGAACCAAAGCGCTACTGAAACAGCATGAAAAATTCACCAGGTATTTGGCAATGGGTGTTAATGAACGGACTGTTCGACGTCGAAATTTTAGTCTCGAAGATGAGCCTCGAAGTGGTCGACCAACAGTAATTCAGGACGAGGATTTGAGGACCCAGATGGAGACTGACCCATGACAAACAGTGCATGGGATGGCGGAAGAACTGGGCGTCAGCTCCCATTCGGTTTTTGATGGTTTAAACGTATTGGAAAGGTCAAATAAATCGAAAAGTGGGTGCTCCACAATTTGAACGATCGACAAAAATTATCACATTTCCAAGTTTGTTTTTCTTTACTTTTGCGCAACCAAGACAATCTTTTTTTGGATCAAATCGTCACGTGTGATGAAAAGTATATTCTCTACAACAACAGAAAACGTTTATGACAGTGGTTGGACACCAATGAGCCACCCAGGCACTTCTCAAAGGCGAATCCCACCAAAAATAGACCATTGTTACTGTATGGACATTCATCACCATTCTACTAGGCACAACAGCCACATTCATATAAATAGAACAAATACAAGAAGTAGTATGAGCAGTTTATTTTTCGAAGGTTTTGTCCGATTCAATAACACTGGTCAACACTGTTTTTGTCACATGACCTTTGTGATGTTATTTGTTTATGTTGGTCTATCCCCATTATAAATATATAATAATTTTGTTTCAATCACATCCAGTTTTTTGTGACAGCTATATATTCATTTCTGACCTTATATACATGTATATGTTTGAATAAAGTCATTTAGGCCGCTGTATAACTATTGCATCAGCTAACATACATTTTATTTTCGAGAGGTATATCCCAAATATGCCACGAAAGTGTTCTACTAACCCTGACAGTTTTGTTATGTGTGTGGAGAATCGACTTTTACATCCTAGCGTCTAAATTTCACCCCAATAGAATATTTTGGATTTACTGTGCAGCATCAAGATAAATTTTGGGTCCCACATAAATGTTGTGTAACATGTGTGAAACTCCTATTAGGTTAGGCTGAACAAGAATCTTGACATTTGCTATACCAATGATTTGGACACGTTTGGATACCGGTTAGTATGTTTGGACTTCATTGTAATGCCTTTTATTTGAGTCAAGGCATTACAACAACCAGAAAAGTCGGGATTTCAGTCCGGAACTTGTTCGCATGAGGAATATGACAATAGTTACCCAAGATATGAACCGCAAACTTCCAAAGAACCGCACTTATTGACACAAAGTGATTAAAACGATTTAGTATGTGATTTAAATTTGTCTACAAAAACAGGCTGAGCTTTTGGGGTCTAGATTAAACGACTGGAATTTACTTTCTCCTGATACAACAGTTTCTTATTTTCAACATCGTGACGATGAAATAAAACCTTACTTTTCTAAAGTAAATTATTTAGTTCAGTGTAATAACATTTATGTTGTGATGAATTTATTGAATTTTGAACACATGATCGAAGTCACTGGTGATTGTTCAATGACAACTCAAAGACTACTTTGAAAATCGTGTTGCTGCATAAGAGAAACGAATTTCCTTCAGTGACGGTTGCTCATGGTCCTGATATGAAAGAGATTTATGAAAATATGAGATTTCATCTTGAAAAAATGAAATACAGCGACCACGCTTGGAAAATTTGTGGCGATTTAAAATTTATTTATTTTTAGCAGCAGAGCAGAAAAAGTCAATATTCAAATGAAATGTGGCTCAAGATGGCAGTGAATTTCTATATCTGAAAGAGAAAGACCCCAAACTAAGCGACTCGAAAATTAAAGGGGGAATATTTGTAGGCTCACAAATACGACAACCACAAAAGACAAGAGCTTTGAAGAAAAACTAAATGACCAGGAAAAAATCGCCTGGAAATGTTTTGTGAGTACTGTCCAAAATTTCCTAGGAAACCATAAAGTGGAAAACACAAAGACCTTATAAAGGAACTAATTTCATATGAAGCTTTGGGGTATAATGTATCCTAAAAAATACATATGTTGGACTCTCATCTGGATTTGGGTGCTGTAAGTGACGAACAAGAAGAGATATTCCATCAGGACATTTCCCTAATGGAGAAGCCTTATAAATGCAATTGGAGTTGGAGAATGCTAGCAGATCATTCTTGGAAACTTAAAAGGAACCTACCAGAAGACAAATATTCACGAAAATCATGAATATTTATTGTACATTAAGTAATAATTTCTTCAAGTGTAAATGATGTTTTACGAAAATATATGCTTTGACGTTGAGAGAAAACCTGATGTGGCATTTTTTTTCATTGATACAATATTGGTTAGTGGCCCTAGTAGATTCAAAGTTTGATATAAGTTTTCATGTGACGAAAAACAGTTAAAATTTTGCTGAGCAGTGTAATTTACCTGATTCAATTAAATCTACTCTATCATTGAAGATTTTCAAGAGCGAACTGTTAAAATATATTCATGATGGAAATTGAAACACTGATTCAAATGGCGCTTATTTCAATTAAATTGAATGAGTATTCACTGAGATATTACAGTTTAAAATGGAATCATAAAAACGGACGAAACAGCCTAATACATCTAGAAAATGATACAATACCACTATGGATCATGTTTATTGAAATACTGTAGAAATTTCAATATTTTAAATACTATAGGGCTCTACCAAGTTTTCAGGGCCAGAATAAACTGAGAAATTCATTATTCAGTTGACCATTCACTTCACTGTTAATATTGTGCATATTATATAACCAAGGTGGGAGTAAAATGGAGAATCAAGAGTGTCATGCTTAAACTACTTATTGAAGTCCTTTATTGCCAAGCAATTGTAGTATATGTCCACAAGGATATATCAGTGAAAAATATAAACTGCGCAATCTTAAAATTTGCGACAATACATGTACATACAATGGTAAAAGTTGATGGAATATAATAGATTCACTAATTACAAAATAGCCCACAATTAAAATCATCTATAGGGGTGTGAAAAAATTCCATGAATGAAATATTTCATTTCAACCTTTCACAACATACGATTTTGATAAAACTATTACATTATTTTGGACTATAATTATTAGTCCTCTGGAAATGAACCGGTGACAAGAAAGAAAAAAATAAACCTTAAATGTGACTATGTGTGAAACCATCTTTGATATAATAATAATAATAATGATAATAACAATAATGATAATAACCATAATGATAATGATAATAATAATAGTCTTTATTCATCGTATACAAGTAACAAGATTGCCGATGAAAGGCAAAGTTCAGCTTACGCTGTTTTACAACTCAACCTATTAACTTAAAGTGAAAAAAATAAAAGTTATATAAATAGAGGAAAAATAAAGTAAGTAAATGATTACAAGTTACAAGTTAGCTCTGAAAGATGTTGCTATATAATACATCACAGTGAATGAAAATTATTGATTAGATAAGGTAGCAAGAACATTTGACTAAAAGTTATACTAATAATAATAAATGCTTTTATGGGAAGGTTACTCAGTACAAAAGATACTAATCTAACCTAACAAATGACAGAATTCAACGTCTGCGCATGATAAATCAAGGCAGAAATTGCTCTTCCATCCAACCAGTAAGAGTTATATTATAAGAAAATCAATAATCAATAACCAGTAAGGAAACAGCCTGACTGAATATGCATTTTCAAAAACAAAAAAAATTATGAATTTCATTTGAACAAATTCAATAAAAATTTTTGATGAAATGTTTAGTGGAGTTTCAGAAAATAATCCTTAAAGTGATAATTATGTAGACGGCTAGATCCCACATCTACCCACAAAAATCCTTATTTCGAAAAAATCAATGAATTCGACATGATTGCGTAACTGTCTTAAGCATGAGAATGTTTTCATAATATGAGAGGTCTGTTCAAAAAATAAGGTGAATGTTCAAATTTCGCGGGCTACATACATTCGATTAGCGATTTTTCAATTTGTTTTTATGTTGGTACACTTGCCACGAACAAATATTCACAGTTTCAGTTGTTTAGCATGTTCATTTTTTTGGTGAGAGGCATAAAAGTTAGAAGTGTTTTGTGTGTTCGGCGATTTTCTGCTATCGAAAAAGAATTGATCAAACTCTGTGTGAAAAATAGAATCAAATGCTCAAAACACTTGGAATGGTAACAGTGGCATACGGTGATTGTACTTTGAGTCAGAAAAATGTTTACAAGGCTTTTCACAGGTCTAGAAGATGTGAATGACGACGCTTGCCCTGGTAGTCCCAGCACATCAACAACTAATGAAAATGTCGAGAAAATGAAGAAAATCGTCATGGAGAATCATTGAATCACTATTAATAAAGTTGCTGAAGATGTCAGTACGCTAGCACAACTGTATTATATCTGAGGGGACAAAATAGAAATTGATGAATAGATAAATATTTTTTGATAAATGAAAATTCACTTAATTTTTTTCAATAGACTTCGTATTCAGAGAAGATAGAGAAAATACTACTCAAGCTGATAATTATACAGGCCGCTGGATCACTCAATACCTTCCCATAAAAAATCTTAATTAAATGATAATATAAGATCATTGGAATGCACTTCAGTCAAATTGAATATTTTTTTTTAATTGAGTTTTTCTAATAATAATCTGTTGTGGGATCTAAGAACCTATATCACTATCAGTTTTTGAAATTGTTTTTCCAGCCTCTTCTAAGAATTTTATAAAAAACATATAAGTACTACCCGAGACAAGTTACAGGTTATTTAATTGTTTTATCCAGTTTTTTCAACAGTAAATGTTTGACGTAAGTATCATATAAGAATGATTAATAGTGAGCTTTACTGATTTGTTACATTTCTGAGAGGCAGCATAACAATGAATTAATAAAGCAATTTTTTGAAAATATGTTATGATTCGGATTTAGTACAATCCTATTCACTTTGTTCTCTTTATGTGAGCCTGAAGCAGTTCTTAGTTATGTACTCTAATTAAATTAAAGGTGAATTCATGCACCAGCCTCATGTTGAATATAGCAAGTTTTAAATCATAAGAAGAATTTATGTTTTTCATTTGTTACTAAACAATTCATGCACTTAGATTATATGGGTAGATATGTATAAGATAATATCGATAATTTACTACATCTTGCGCTTTATGACTTGAGACTGGGTACATGAATACACCCTTAAATTTATTACTTCTGGTTCAAAATGTATACTTGAAACAAACACTGATACCCTCTTCAATATATATATATTATTACTTACCACTGAAAATTTTGACTTGTTTCTCATCTATCCATAGTGACAAGTCACTATTATTCTTGTCATCTCGAGAAATAACAGATGTCAAAATTGGTATCAAAACCACCAATATGAATTTCCACATCACAAGGTTCCTGGTATACATGCTTAAAAATATTATGGTTAAAAAGGGAAATTATATAGAGTGAAACGAAGAATTAAATTGCATCTCATCAATATTTACATATTTATGAATCTGATAGCAGCTCTCTATTGGCATAAGAAGGAATAAACCAGTGTTACCTATAATTATATAAAGGTGAATTATCATACCATTAGTATTTTAAGCTTCATTCCTCTTCAGAGATTTCATAGCATTCGAAAGAAGTAGGCAATTATTGCATTTTGCAGATTTTGTTACATTATTACAAAGCAGTACCAAAACCCAATTAAAGCCTCAGTTTGGGGAAAAAAGCAATGTAACCTAAAATTGAAAATTAACTTACTTCATGCAAATTATCTCAAAGGAATAAAACAACATTTACTTGATCAATTCATATCTTTGAAATGAAAACTGTGCTAAAAATAAACATTTCTGTTTGTTTAGATACAGTGTGTCAATAAAACTTCTATTTATTTTCAGTTTTCATTCCCTCACTCGGAGTGACTACTATGACTGTACACCGTATAATTAAGAATACTGTGCCTAAAAAAGTACTATAGAGTAGGGAGTACTAAGAATCGGATTCTTCGATTCTTGCTGGTTTCAAGAACAAGTTTTTAGAATGTTTTATATTCTCGTGTCATGTCCGTTTTGATTTCTTGAATCGGGTAATGTACTGCGATTATGAAAACGGTGAATCGACAAAAATAGTGAATGCGTTTTTCTTGCAGTGTTTACGAAAATTTTCCAACGCACTATGTAGTAGCTGAAGATTCTCGATTGCAATCTACACGATTCCACCAAAGAAAATACCCACCACTTATCAGTAGTGTCAAATAGTCGGTCGATGAAACTCGTTTCTTGAGAAACGAAGTTCTTCGAATATTTATTCTAATACTTGAAGTTCATGGCCGATGGGTGTTGACGATTCACTCGGAAAATTATTTGCGATGATTAGGCAATTAGATCGAGTACTTCAGTTTAGTGAATACATTCAATAAATCAATAAGAATATTTCAACCCCGGTTTTTTATTACATTGCTGTTCGTGTATGAGATGCCGGTTTTCAAAAGTTCTTCGATTCTGCATGCCACTATCAGCTACTGACTTGATAAGACCAAAATACAGAAGAATATCAATCAGAACAGATACTTGGGGGAGGGTAAGCTTTGATTAAAGAAAGCCAATTACGGTGATCTTCGCTATTTTATGAGGACTAAACATGGTGTCGATTTTGAAGGGCCTCGTCAGATTCAGAGAAAAAAAAATATCGGAGCACCGACACTGACATTAGACTGTTTTGTGCTTCAGACAGTACCTAATCCGTGGCACAGAATTCATCTTCTGTGTTCTAAATTTCCAAAACGGTTTCTTCTGTGTCGTTTGTCTGCTTCAACCAATGAAAAATTCGTTCGGCAACAGAAGATTAATTAGAATTATCAATCGCAGGATGATTGGAGCGTTTTCGTAGTACGAATTACTCAATGCGTGAAGCAAACGGCACAGAACAACTGGCTTGGAAAATTCTAACCACAGAAGATGCTCATTTTGATATTCGCATAAAATCGTTTCTGAATGCAAGACTCTTGATAAACTCATTCTTGTCAGGTATCCTATAAAATATACACTACCTTAGGTTCAGGCATCTAACTGAGATGGAATTTTCATTAAGAAAAAAGATAACCTAAATTAATTTGTTTCAATAATCAGTTGATTTTTAATATTTCAAATACAGAAACTGTTAAAAATTGACAATCCTGGTATTTCGATGCTACCAACTGCCTAAGTTATATATTATACAAAACAGTTGAAGTGGTTTAATTGAAAAAAAAAGGGAATGTCTCTATGGTCTCAGCGGAGAAATGATTGAGAAATATATCTGTCCCTCCCAAATTAACATGGAATTCAGTTATTTTCAGTTCAACAGTTTCAAGAGACATTAAAGGTACAGCAAAGAAAATTCACTGACTGATTTCTGGTTATCTATACATTTGTACTGAGTAGAAGCAAGAAAAGATTTGGATCTTTGTAAGATGGATGACTTTCTGGGACCCCTTAACAATACATTTTGGATTATCAAGTCAACATTTGAAATCAAAAATACTGAATGGCAAAGGATGTCCCAGTTATGATAATGGCCCAAAGAAATGGTGGGATTGCACTTTCCATTGCAGAAATTTGATATGATTCCATTAAGCAAAGAAATATAATCATGTAATCAATAGAAATGGTAACAGTGACATGATAAACGCAAAGGATAACTTCAAGAATATTTGAGAAGCTAATTATGAAACGTATTCATCACAGGTTTTTTGCTTGACAAACAGCAATATAAATTTTTCGCGCTCATATGTGACAGCTGAAGCTAACCTAACCATGACGCTGAACTCTTTTATCCTTTGAGCAGATTGTTTCTAGTTAGTGTGTAATGCAAATCCATTTGTCAAGAGCAACATTCTCATGGCCTTACCTTGCAACTATAGCAAACCCAGTTGTCAAAAGAATCCTCTGTGACTCCTGGCTTATGACATTCTTGATGATATAGAGAGTGACAATCTGAGCATTCCAAAAGCCTATTTCTTGCACCTACATCCATGCCACTGAAAATATTAAAAAAAATCATTTATTGGCGGGTTTATGCAACAATACCTAAGAACTAAAACTGTAATGACTAAAAACCAAGAACTAGACCTATGCTGGGAAAAATATAACACCAATTTGATATTTTTCTATTATTTTTTCTTGTTAATAAGAATCTAAGTTAGCAATTTGAAACTATAAAGAGACCTATTTTTGTGGTGAGAATTGTGAATGTTTCTTTTCCATTTTCGTAAAAATACTACAAAAAAAGGAATACAAATTAAAAATATTAGTCATAATAACTATCAATTGTTGCAATTTATCAAACTCATGTTGGTAAAGTACCGAAAGCTTAAATGAATTTACGATCAAATTATTCAAATTAGTTTAAAATATGTTTTTCCGTTAACCAGCTGTCGCACCCCTACAAACGACAACCCTCAGAAGTCGAAACTTGTGCTAGCTAAGGACTAACGAGGTCTTACCTGTTAACGTGTGATTCCTAACACGGGTTGGACGATAGCACGTGAAAATCGATTGTTCAGCCTGAGGCTTGAACCACCATGAAGAGGTTGAAACCGAGGGGTCTAGTTTTTGTTACTGAAAGTACTTCTTCGAAATAGTTTTTTTTTAACACACTTCAATGATTTTTCAGGGTTTCCTGAGAATGAATATCTGCGGAAAAGCTTAACTGTGTATGATGTAGGAGTTGAAGAGCTCTAAAACTCCCGAATAAGTGATTTTTGTCACAGACCCGGAAACATCGGGATCATTTGCTTCTAACTAATCCAATATTGATCAACAGATTTGTACAGCCCATTCATTAATACATAAACGTACATTCACACACTGAATACATAGCATCTATAAATTATTTTTCACATCTATGAGTTGATGGATTTTGCAGTAGCCATGTTTCAACTCTATATTTAAATAATGAAATTGAATTGAGTTGCTTGAAGTGGAAACAATAACTAAACAGTTTAGGTGCGAGGTTAAGTGTTCAATTTTTTATACTTTCACGGTATCTCGATGGAAGATAGGTTAGATATGAATAGATACCTGTTTTAGAGTTAGGAATTAGTATTATTCATCTCATGAAGACGCCAACTTGGTTGGGGAAACGCGCATCGAGCAGAGTAATGTAGTTCTGGTGAATGGGAAAAATACTCGTCCTGGATATATTCTACGCCAGAAGTTGCAGTTTTACCATTTATTATCCTTATATCAATTTTGATTTTGTGGGTGTATATGAAAATTAATGGGAATTTTTTGTGGGTGTATATGAAAACTAATGGCAATGTTTCTCTCACAAAATAAATAGGAATAATAATAAATAAGTAGTTAAATCGCAATTAATAAAGAATGTGAAGTCGAAATCATCAAGTCTTCATATTTTTGGAGTAGCTTATGAATCTACTAGACAATGATTTTACAAAGACATAAGTTGATGCCTTGCCTCTATCTTTCCCATTCTGCCCATTTTACTTTTGTTTATGAAACTTTAAGATTGTTATTTACAAAAAACTGCCACCTTGAAGCATTGATCAGAAAAGGAACATATGAGGAATATGAAAAGTAGCTTTCCTCATATCATTTGCATTACAATAACGCAATTTTCTTCATGATACATGCAATTTTGCGTCTGCGAAAGGGTGCATGAAAGTAATTAATTAGCAGATGCAATTTTCAAGCTATTGCAAGATAATAAGACACCCTCCAAACTTTTGCATTGCATCTGCAATTTAATTAAATTTTTGGTGATTTTCAATATGACTAACATCCGAAATCTCACTGAATATAATAAAATGTAACAAAATTAAAGATGTTTTCTTCATGATGCATGATGCACTTTTAAAGCAAGTCAAATATGTAATGTGACACGATATTTTATAGTGCAATATATTGCATGCAGGTTTTTTCATTTTATCGCCCGAATATAAAGTGGCTTTTACAGAACTTGATAGCATTGCAATAAACTGTTAGTAAATGTTCAATGATCTAATCGTGCATCAATTATTTCTTGCACATGCAATAGATAAATGCGTGTATTGAACTTTTTTTGTATTAAGGATTACAAATATTGTCGATTCAATATCTATCATAATATTCACAATTATAAATTTTCAGGGCATTTCTCTATGAGGCCCGAAATCTATTTGGAATGATAAATCTATCTTCTCTAGGCATAATTCTTAGCTCTTAGTTTTAGATGAGTCTCCATAAAAACTCCTATTGATTTGCTATGGTTGAACTCAAAATTGTTAGTCTTAGGTTTTGTTATTACATATGATGCATAAACTGTCATATTATTTTGACTGCATTACGTGCCGTGGATTTATGAAAAAAAATGTAAAACTGCTACAATATCGGTATTTTCCCATTACCTCTTATTGAATTGCAGGTTTTGATAACTTTTTTTTCCATAAACCCTTTATATTCTGTGAAACTTAAGTCTCTACTCTTAAAAAGAATAAAATTGAATTCTTTTTATTATAAGTGTGCAGGTGTAGTCAAAATGGAAGTCATTTCATTTCAATGCAGGCCTTTTCACTGCCTTCAAAGAGACGGTATAAAATATTGATTGTGGATTTAGCAATCTGTTTATCTGACACAAATTGGATTTCAACAGAAATATGTTTTTTAGAAGAAAAGAGGTGAGACTAGTGCTGGATGAACGAGAAAACCACAAATGTCTATTGGACATAATCCAATGTCCAACGTCGTATTATCCAGGAAAATAGTTGTTTTCTAGTAGATATTTGCCAGCCCCTTCCGTGTAGAAACGTTGGAAGAGGAGAATGTTTCAAATTTCAATGAGATGTGTGCATTTGTGGTTATCTTTCCTACACTATGAAAGTTGTCGAATTACTCTGGAGGAGGATGTTCTTCAGTTGACACTTCTACATTGGCGGTTACCTGATCTACAGTGTTAAACTCTGGAACAAATATAAAATTAATATACATTTTTGGTTTCATGTATTTAAATGCAGCAACTTACATGATTTCATACGTCCTCCATTTATCAAGGATTCAATATCAAAAAAAAAATTATTCAGAAAATCTCCTGTTTGCTGCTTTTGAAGCTCCAACTTATTTTTGAATGTTGGAGGTTCATATGTAGAAATGTTAGCTTTTTGCTCATTTTGCTAAAGGATGTTTTGGGGCTTTCGTCTCCCGCATCCTGCATGTTTGAACACTGTCACATATACTAGGCACATACTATTAAATGTAAAGAATTCAGGCCAATCAACACTTTACCTCCGATTGAGAAGATACTTGAAACAGCAGTATATAACCAACTAATAGAATATGTGGAAAAAACGACATTTTAACCAACAATCAATCGGGTTTTCGCAAATTGCATTCGTGTGAGTCATCAGTGCAACTATAAATTCCTTTAGATTTAATCTAGTTACTGAGGAGGTAATTGAAATCGATTGCAAAGTTTCTACTGAGCAGAAAAACAAAACATCAGGTTAATCAAGACACGATAATGAAATAGTTTGAAAGGCATTAACAAACTGAAAAATTGTCCGGGTTCGTTCCTCAAACTTAAAACTAAAACCAGACCCGTTGGCAGATATTATCACATAAATAAACATACAAGAATCAAATAAGAAAGAAAGTATTAAAGATCAATTATCAAACTCTCATTCCGATGATTACACTGATTTCACCATTTGTATTACCATCCCTAATAATGCTTTGGAGCAGCTGGGTCACTTGATTAGGAAGAAATGAAAATGAATTGTATTCACCCCTCAAACTCCTACAATGGAAAAGCCTATCGGACTAGTTAAATACGAGCAAAGTTTAGCCCAATACACAATTAAAGAATAAAGCAAGCCTTAAAACTATGACAACCAAACAACCAGATTAAAATTAAATTGTCAAAAATTCATCCGGAGAATAAAAGGGGCATAGTAATGAGATATTCATAGAAAAGAAAAAGACGAATGAATAAAGAGATAACCATCAATAGAAGTAGTCATAAATAAAGAAGTACTATCAAGAATGAAAACCTCTTCTGGATGAGAACAAAACCTCTTCAAGATTAGAATAGTCCAAACCAGCGAAGTTGTGTGAAATAGATGAATTTTAGTGTATCATATGAAAAGTAGAATATTCCAACATCTTTCAAGATGAAATATAGGCAAGGAAGTTAAAAAAAGTCGACAAGAATAAAATTCAAAGTAGAGATACCCACAGTACTCAGTTCTCCAGATATCAAATTATATGAAAAAGAAGAAGGAGAAAGAATAGAGGAAGATCGCTACACAGATAGAAAAAATGCACTTAATCAAATAAACATTGAAAAAAAAATAAAAGGGAAAGTTGGATGAAAATGATGAAGACATGTGGACAACAAGGAGAAAAAAATCTAAACAATTCTTTTTAACTTTTTTGTGTCAAGAAAAACAACATTTTGAAAAACTTGAACAAGGCAGAAGAAAATATGTTTTGGAGAACAACAACATATTTTTGTCAAATATGGACAAAATAATGGGGAGAAGTGCAAAGCCCTAATTCACTGAGAGAGTGGGACAATAAAATAAATATATGTTGATGTTTTACACAAAACTGAATATTATTGTCATCTCTTTTACTTTACTAACATATAACATGCATAGAAATCCGGACTTTCTGAATATAGTATTTAAAAAAAATATTGGAGGATGAGAAGATTCTCAGTGTTAGTCGTAGTTTGGAACTGCATCTTTGCATTTCAAACCCGAATGGAGATAGTAACACTGAAAATCGCGACTGCGAAAGCCTTGACCAATTGATAAGAAGATTCATTAAATAACGTAATTATAACTTAATAACACAATTAACTTGTGTCTCCTAGATAATCATTTTTAACTGCAAAAAGGGGCAGGCCAAGAAGTTGGTGACAGAAGTTTCTTGGTAGTGATGTGCAGGTTTTTTATACCCCAAGGTATATAAAATCTACATATTGCTGCCAACAAACCTGGAATATATCCTTGATAGTTATCTTCGATCCTGGGAGTTACCATACTTCAAGAAATGAGGAATATTTGAAAGAGAAAATAAAATTAAAAAAATTAAAAAAAATAAAAAAGAAAAAAAAAATTTTTAACGAAAATAAAATAAAAAACGAAAAATAAAATAAAAACCACCTTACGTGAAACCTGGAGCAGAATGCAAGAAAAACCTCTTAGTAGTTTTCGTGATGATTGTCATAAACTAGAATATGATCTACCATACAAAGAAGTATAAAAGAAAATACATTTTATTGGAACTTCAGTGCCATCATATAAAAAAAGGTTGAGTTATTTAGGTTTTGTTTCACTAATTTATGTTTTTAATCTCCAGATATTTGCACATGTCAGGATTTGCTGCACAATTCTCTTCTAAGAATCTGCGTTGAACCTTCGGGTCTCTTAGATCATAATAAGGGTGCAATAGACACAAATGTGGATAGTCAGTTTTATCAGCCAAGGACAAGGCCTTGAGCAATCTGAAGATATAAAAATTTTTCATTGAGTACATCTTATAATTTTTTTTCATTCAAGGTAAAAGCACTAAAGCCCGACGGTGAACTAGAGATGGCTCTTTCTGATAGATGTTTTTACATGAGGTCATTTTCAACTGTATTAGCTTTCTAATATCATTACCACACCTTTATGTTTACTGCAATATTCACTGCAATGATACTTTCATCGTCATTGCAACATTTTATTTCATTCAATTTTATTCATTGCACCTGAAAATAACAAAAACCAAAAAAATGTCACAAATGACATTTATTGGTGATGAAACAGACAGAAGAACAGAAGAAAAAAAGAAATGTGAAATAATGTAAAATCAACAAAATTGAGACATAACAAAGCTGAAGAAAACTTTTAAAAAGTTAAATTAATTGTTTTAAGAGAGTTTGAAAAGGTGGATTATGAAAGTAAATTTTCTTAGCGACTCAAAATAAATATTATTATTATTATTATAATACAAACACTGAAGATGAATGGATGAGAAATATTTGAAGTATTAGGAAATTAGCTTGATTAAGTTGAAGAATGGTGATTATTATCAATGAACTTCCAGAGAAAAAAAAATTAATTTCACAGATATGGCTGCATTATTCAAAAGGTGTTGAATAATGTTATGGTGCAATGTTATACATAAAGAAAAATAATGTGAATCACTATTGTAGGGCACTCACAAATAATTGGAGGTCTATAATTACACCAAAGACAATGGAAGAGACAAAATGAAGTGAAAGTAAAAGCGGCAATGAAATTTTGTGTCAAAATAAATTTTAGACAACTATTCATAGATAATGATAGTAATAATGTTCCACATTCAAATTATTACGCTGGATTTATAGTTTAGGTAACGTGACCATTTCATAAATACATTAAGTGTCAGATTGAAACTTGCGTTTATTAATAAATGTCACTCTGCAAATGATACAACATATTCATAGGGTAAAATAATGTTTCATCTTTTGGGGAACTTCTACTTCTGGAAAACCAATCAGAGAACAGAATCTCTGTTGTGTGTACTATATTCTACAATTGGCAGTTATGAATTTTGTTAGTTGCCTTATGGTTAGTTTAGTTAGTTATTCATTCACCCCTTTTTTAAATATAATTTGCTGAATTTTAAAAATTCATTATTATAGACATTGGTTAAATTGAACAGATCTTGAAAGTGTACTTGTTTTGCACATGCAGAGTGTTACAGTTTAACTGTGTTAAGCTTTAGTGTGTGTGATTTATGAAACGAATATTTGTCGTTTTGCTTCAATGACTTCGTTAACATATGTTAATGTTGGGTTACTTGATCTATAGAACCTGCTTCAGTTCTCTCTAGTGTGATATTACGAAATTTCAAGTTTCGTAATGTCAACCAAGTATTAGGAAAAATATAAAAAGTATTTTTCCGTTAAGTTTTTGTTGTTTAAAAAAAATCTGTTTAAAATCTGTTTTTCCGTTAACCAGCTATCGCACCACTACGAACGACAACCCTCAGGAGTCGAAACTTGTGCGAGCTAAGGATTCACGAGGTCTTACCTTTGAACGTGTGATTCCTAACACGGTTGAAACATTTGTTTATAGATGTCTCCAAGAAACTGTGGATATGAAATAATAATCAAAAAATAATTACATTTTTTCCTCGAATTTTTTCATAGACTGAAAATTTGGGTTTCCTTATAGTGTCTACCAATAGTGCTTTTACCTTACTACAAGCAAAAAACCAAATACTCACTTGCATATAACACACATAAGATCCTCTTTCAGCAAATCTAATTCCAGCTCATTATCAGAATTGGACCCTTTGCTTTCCTCAAAAGGCGTATTCACTAGAGGAACATTCTCTCTGGGCTTCAGACAAGCTTGAACAAGATCTGTATAATCTTTAACTATTCCATATTTAATTTTTATTGCTTCTTCCAGAACATACTGTAGAGGAACTGGGTCACCCCTTCGCAATTTGGAACTGGCATGCAGAAACCCCAAACATTTCACAAAGTGAGAATCAATTTCATTTGAAGACGTCATTTTTAAATGGATGGGGATTTTTGAAATTTCAGTGGAAAAGGATTTTCTTACAAAAAGTGAAAACTAAATCAGAGCCAAAGAGTAGACTTTCAAAACGTTACAATTTGTCGATAACGATACAGAGTATGTGCTAGGCGGTAAACAACAAAATTTATTTTCGAGAGTTTTGATTCTGTGACCGATTAACGCTAAATATCAAAATATAACCTAAAACCACAGATGACAGAACATTTCTTCTTCTTCTTCTTCTGTAATGAGGTAGGTTACTGGACCATTAACTCAGTTTCGATCCTTGGTCGCATTCTTTTTAGAGGATTCTAGTCGGACTAGATCGCTACTGTATATGTTTGACAAACTATACTGATTCGGGTTCTTCCTTTTTTTGGTAATTGTTTTTATGACTTCTTATTTCATATCTGGTATTGTTTTTGCTTTAGATGAAGTATGATAGTTCCCTAAATTTCTATTATTTTTGATTGAAGGATTCTTTTGAACATCTCCACTCCCATCTTGTATCAGAAAATACAATCGAGGAAAGAATTTTGGCTCAATTAAATTCAGCAAATGTTGACAACTACAAGTATATCAGTAGGAAACGAGAACCTCAATTCTTTCTTTTGTGCAGGTGTAGGTCTAACTTGAACATTTTCCAATTCGATAAGAGTGGTTATTCATCTAATGCAGAGAGTATGAGAGGAAATGTGATGTAGGCAGGTGACAATTCGTAGAGAGCGAAAGTGGAGATGAGGGAAAATGCAACCAAGTGTCAAAGTGTTAGTTCTTGTGCGCAAAAATCATAGAGCATAATACGTAATATAAAACTGAAACACTTTTATTTTCGAAGTGTGTTGATTTGATAATAAAAAGTTGGGAAAAGTACTTTTCAAGTTGGGAAATTTGTAGCTCCAGCCTGCCAAAAATATTACTAGTGAATGATGAATAAAAAAAAAAGTGAATTGATAAGGGAACAGTCAAGGAGATAGCTTCTGACTTGAATTTTGTCAATTATGGTTCATGTTGTTTTTCATGAATCCGTTCAACTCAACATCATTGGTATTGTTGGGTATTTATGATTATGTGTGCATACTCTCAATCTTTATTTACGTTTTTCAAGTATGAGTACATAAAAAAAAAACGAAAGCTACATTTTCCATCAGAATATATTTTTGGTTTATTTGAATACAACATATAATACTGAACTTGTGATAACAGTATAACTACATTATTCATAAAAGTAGAACATTTTTCAGTCTCACATAAGTGTTTTTGCTTAACATTATTTTTGATACAACTTCTAATATCACTTTAAAAATTCTAAAGAAAAACCTGAACTAATTGAAATCTAAAACTACGTCCTAGATAAATTACAAATATTATATTATCTATATTAAAATACCAAACTGAGCTGAAAATCTAAAAAAAAACATGAAATACTTCTTCAGCAGCAGCGTTATTCCATAATTTCATCTAAAAAAGACAATGGTGGTATAATTTCAATAAGCCTTCATTAAGGAAAAAATCTTTTGGCTTTCTATTACTCCATCATTATTTCGAGAAGAATGAAAAAAATCCATCCGGAACAACTACTTTCGAATATAAGAACATTGAATTGAACGGAAACAACTTTGCGAATGTAGAAACACCGGAGGTGTTCAAGTGACTTGGCACATTCGATTCCTCCAAGAGCGGTACATATCAGAAATACGCGGCGAACTGTGACTGCTCATTGTTTTGAGGTTTAACGCAGTACACCTCGAACTTCTCATTTGGAGAACTGCGTTTATGCGATTCAAATCCAGCCTGAATCGCTACTTTCGCACAAGCATTGCTCTTGGAGCGCCTTAAGGATTTTCCTGTTGTGCTTGTGTGTTGTCCTTAAAAAAAGATTGTGGAAGGTGATTTCATTATATTCCATTGTTCATATATTTGAAAGTTATTGTTCCTATAATCTACACGTCTTTGTGAATGATTTTTATTGATGCATTCAAATACTTTCTTACTTTATTCGGAAGTTTCTCATTTTCTGTATGATGATGAAGTTGTGAGTCAAATTTTTTTTCCAAAAACTCATACTATTTGTAGAGATGTGATATTTCAAACAGACATCAAGACATGGGATTATATCCAACAAACATTCGTGCAAAATTATTCCTCACAGAATAAATTCTTGTAGATACAAGGATTCATTCAGTTGCCATTCGTTGTTGCCATAATTTCGTGTATGAGGAAACTTGAACAAATATCTGTTAGATATAATACAATGTCCGTCGTGAAATAGGCCAGAGGAGTAGGTGTTTTTCTGCGGTTTCTGCAGTTTCTAAAATAGTTTTCTCTGAATTTTCAGTTTCAGTTTCAGATTGGTTCTTTGGAAAGTCACCATATTTACCTATATTTCCGGTTCGTCCTCATAATCAGAGGGTGGCATTAACGGTGTCCCAGGTCTTGGTACTGCTGAAAACAAATTTGTTGAATAAAATTTGAATAAAATCGAATTGGAATATCTGACGTGAAATGAATCTAATTGATGAACTTTTTCGGAAATCCAGCGATACATTTTTAGTTTTAAAAAAATTTATTATAAATGTTGTATTTGTGGTAATGGGTGTACCAATACAAAAACTCCTTACTCGTAATATTCTTCTTTCTGTAGATATGAAACATAGGAAAAAAATTTATTTTATTTTCAAATGGGACATTATCTACCAATGACCACTCCCCAAAGGTGAGGTTAGTGATCCGAGATCTTTAGTGATCCGTGATCACTAACCTTACCTTAGTGATCCGATAATCATGTGTCCTAAAATCATGTGAGCCTAAAATGACAGGCTTTTGCATTTGTCCTGCTAAGATTTCTGCCTTTGTGCGGCAAGCCGGTATGATTTTGAGGTTCAACAGTAGAGAGGACATCATTCCACCAAGGACTCCGATAATCAGAACAACCATCTTGACAGAGTGATCTGGATAGAGTCTGCGGAGTTCGAAGAGAAAATCTCGATATTTTATCCGTTTTTCGCCCTCTTTTCTGACGATATTTGTCTCGCCAGGAGCTGAAAACTCCACGACAAATATCGTTTTGCTCTGGTGGTCGAGAAGGACTACATCAGGCTTATTAGCTTGTATGAGCCTGAGAGCGAGGAACGAATAGTTCCAATAAATTCGGCACTTCTCGTTTCCTACAACGGATTCAATATCCTCTGGAGCAAAGGGCAACACCGGGGTCTCCTCAATACCGTGAAAGTGTCGTTGGTGGTAATAAAGCACTTTTAGGACCACGGTATGTCGATAGATATAGGCTGAGATCGCATAGCCTAGCGACAGGTCAACAAGGCGGATCTCCTCCGCATCACTCACTGGATAGTTAATAAGAAGGAAGTCATTGAGTGGCTTCCTCCGTCACATGATTTGAGTCCTTTGTGTGAGGGCTCATACAAATTTTATAGCACTCTACCTAACATTTTGAAAGGCCTGCGGAGCCAAACCATATCTCTATGTATGGTGGGTAGATCTTGAAAAATAGCATCCATGTTGATGGAATAAAAATTCATTTTTGAACAGGCATCACTTCAGAAAAAACCTGACGTGTTTTTTGTAATTTGCCAAGACGTCTCCAAGGCGTTTGACAGAGTCTGGCATGACAGACTTCTGGCCAAAATGATCAACTTCGACTACACGAAACCAATTGTAAAATTAACCGAGTCTTTTCTAGCTGAAAGGCGATGCCGCTGCAGAGTAGGACAAGAACTCTCGACGCTGCGATTACTGGAAGCAGGGGCCACACAAGGTGCAGTCCTTTCGCCACACCTCTTCTCGGTATACACAGCAGACGTGCCCAAGCCAGAGAACAACTTCAATAAGTTGGCGCTCTACGCGGATGACACAGCTCTGCTGGCGAGTTCAACAAGCCAAGCGCACGTCACTAGATACTTACAGCAACAGGCAGATAGATTAGAGGAATTGGCCAACCTATGGAAGATCAGTATAAACCCTGACAAGAGTCAGGCAATACTATTGATCCGGAGGAGGGTACACCCGGAAGGAAATATCATCTCCAACGGACAAGAGATTCCGTGGACCAACGAAGCTAGATACTTGGGGGTCAACCTAGACAAAGGATTAACGTTCAGGTCTCACGTACGGCAGAGAATAGGAATGGCGAGATATGCCCGACAAAACCTATTACCAATAATAGGTCGAAGAAGCAACATGGGACTGAAAGTGAAGCTGCTGATGATAAAGTCCGTAATACTACCGATAATCCTGTATACCTGCACTGCCTGGGGCCAGTGCGCAGCGACATACAGAAGACAGATCCAGTCGTTTATGAACGCGTGCGTAAGGGCCGCCGGAAACGCTCCAAGATATGTACCAAATAGGTACATATTCCGGGATCTAGACTTGAACAACCACTACGTGGACGCATACATGAGGAAATACGCAGAGGACACGTTCGATAGAATTCGAGCGCACGACAACCCAGCGCTAAGCGACTTACATGATGCACTAAACAAGAATGACCCCAGATACCGAGAGAGGGACAAACACAGAAGGCCAACGAAGCAGAACCAATGACCACCCCCGCGAGTCGCTGTCAGGCGGCTCCGGTAAGTATAAACATTTCTCAACCAGTTTCAAATTAATCTCTTTTTCAGATTCACTGAGAACCAACACTTGCTCGCGACTAAAAAGACACTCTCCGGTTAGTTTCTGGGGACCCCATGCAATAATTCAGTTAGGAAAGTCATGATAAAACAATTCAACAGATCAGAAAGTAAAATCACCTAGAGGCTGATTTTCGACCAAAGAAGGTCAAATGTCAATCTTGCCCATCAGTAAGTTGAGGACCGCTCCGGAGGAGCGGGGGTGGATGGACGAGATGGGATGTTATGCACACAGTAACCGTGTGGGGAAGATTTCAACTCAGGGCAGTCAACCCGGGAGGTGGCATAGGGGGGGGCAAGGTCTTTCCCACTTTGTAATGCCTTGTGGTACGTTTTTGATGAACCACCCTGTATAATGACGACGGAAATTCGGGCAATGAACGTTTCAAATTTTCAGTCGAAATGTGATATCATTTCATTTTCAGTAATAGTTTTTTNTTCAGTAAAAGTACTGGCGATATTGATTCTTTTGAAAGTACCTAAGTATATTTACCGTATATCGCCAATTTCTTTTTGATAACAGCGGGCAGCATAAACGGTGTCCCAGGTCTTGGTACAGCTAAAAAAATGGTTGAATGAAAGTTAAATCATTAGGAACCATAAAGTTTGATAAGGAAAATTTGAAAAATATTTTGATCGCATACTTATGAATGGAGTAACACCACCGATGTTAGTAAATTTCAGAAATGAAATTTTCAGAGGCTGGGTTGTTGGAAAGTAGAACATCTTATTGAATAGTGTGTTGAAAAGGCCTAATTTTTATCTGAGATTTTTTTTAAACTGAAGCACAGCAAAACATAACCCTTTTTTAACACGCTTTTATTAGCTTCATCTGTATGTATGTATGTTTGTTTGTAACTCTCAAGCTCGGGATCTGTATTTGACAGAATTATCGACATTACTGCTTGATCTATTCGCAAGCAGATGGCTCTGCACGTGACCTTCTTGATTTAATTCAAACTCACTTTACATGTATTTCTTCATTTGAAAAAAGTATTTTTTTGATCAACACGCGCTCCTGCTGCCTTATTTGTAACCCTCTTTTGCGCACCTGCTGCCTTGAGCTTGTTAGCTGATTTTCAGGCCCCCTCTCCGGAATCGGAAAATATCAATGGTCATTTTTCTGAACAATATACGGCTGATTGATCCCGAAGTTTAGATAAAATAAATATAGTTTGAAAATACTAAAAAACACGCTTTTATAGCATACGAAACTAAAAAATGAAAAATAAATATAGTTTTAAAAACTAAAAAACACGCTTTTACAGAACATCGAACTGAAAAGTTTTAAATTCGTCCTATACGGACATTTTCAAACTTATACAAAATGTCCGTATAGGACGAAACTGCATAACGTTAATTACAAATAAAAGTGGTAAAAACATAGAAATTTTCATTTCTCTTTTCGTTATATTTTTTACAATAACAGTTTTATGTGACATCCATACGTTCATTAATATAAATCAATCTCTCCTTAAAAAAATAATTTTCTTCATTCTTTGAAAAGTGACTATATTTACCGTATGTTTTCGGTTCGTCTTCAATAGCAGCGGGCGGCATAAACGGGGTCCCAGGTCTGGGTTCAGCTAAAAAAATGTTTCAATGAAAGTTAAATTATTTCGAATTTACAATTTAGACTTCTTGGGCGACTTTAATGAAATGATCACCAGAACAATTTTTCACACGAGAAAAAGTGTACTTTTTCTCAGACAGGAGCTTTTTTTTGAAAAAAATCTACAGTCCTAGTGATTGGGAAAATTTTTTTCATTAGAAGCATAGTTCCTGTTTCATTTCAATTGAAAAACAACTTCATTTGTGAATCATCAACAATTACTATTATTTCTCACACAATGAAGCCTTATAGATACTTGTACCCGTCGGTTGGGCTATACCTATCGGGCGCGTCCCCAGGTGGTGGATAGGAGAACGGCCTGGGGACTGGGAGCCCTGTGCGGGAAGCCAATGTGGCCTTACGGACGGGGTCGCCAGACTCCTGGTCAGTGACGGAAATAAGTAGGGTGAGAGGAACTAAAATCCCCCAAAAGCCTTTGCGAAACATGCCACCGGGGACCAGCCTACCCAAGCTAAGGTGTAAGGATTCGTGCCGATAGCTGAATGGCCGCAGGGTGTTATGCGGTCACAAACGATCTCCTTGGGGAACTGGGCGAAGAAACCTCATTGTAATCAGCCTACCTCTGGTAATGCGGGGCTCGTGGAAACACACATGAATGAAACAAACACAAAAACAGATACAGAGAAAACAAAAACCAATCCTGCGGCTGGACCGAAATGCTCACCTCAATCTATGGCGATGGCTGGGGATGAAAAGAAATGTCTACCCCAATTTATCGCTTGGGATGAGGCTGGACATGGCAGATCACCTCGTGATGTAATACAAAGGCCAAGGTGTAAGCGCATTTGCGGCGCCGAGGCCAAAAGGAGAAGGAGAGCGATAGAGTCAGAAGTGGCAGCAACTATAAGTGCACCTTCCTTGTCCCCCACTCCACCTCCAACAGCAAGGGCACTTCCTGCGGCGGGTGCCAAGAGCTCCGCCTTGAATAAAGGCAAGGAACTGGCTGCCCCTGCAGGAAAGCGCCCTTACTTGAGCACCTCCACGAAGGCCGCCGTGAGACACCTCAAGGTTGCCAAAGAGAGTGTGTATTCGGCGAGCCTTGGCCTACACCTCCCAATATAAAGAAGATGTATCCTAGTGACCTGTCCATCTTCCTGGAAAAGACAGGATGGACAATGACCTAGGAGGACGACTCCTTGGGAGGATGTACAATGGTTCACATGTGGCCTAAGTGCTGTGGGTCTACACTGACCCTCCCTACTTTACAGATACAGATAGATACTTGTAGAAACTTGAAGAAATACATGTCGTGGAATAGGCCAGAGGAGTGAGGATTTTTGAGCGGAAACTTACAAAGTCCGTGTTTGAGCTTCGGTAGGAGTGAACCTTTCGAATTTTTAGTCAAAATGTGTTAGTCTTTTAATTTCTTAAATAGTTATCTGTTTTTTTCTCAGTTGAGGTACTGGTGAGATTACTTCTTTAAAAAGTGACTATATATACCGCATGTTTCCGGTTCGTCTTCAGTAGCAGCGGACGGCATAAACGGGGTCGCAGGTCTGGGTTCAGCTAAAAAAAATTAATGAAAGTTAAATTATTATTCAGAAGCAAAAGTTTGATAGCTATAATTTCGACTTCTAGAGTGAAATGAATGTAATGATAGAACTTTTCCCAAAAGCCAGAAAAATTTTTCCCACTGGAAAAAGTGTACTTTTTCTCAGACAGAAGCTTTTTTCTGAAAAAAAAACCTCAATCCTAATGATTTGGAAAAATGTTTTTATTAGAAGCACAGTTTCTGTTTCATTTCAATCGAAAAACAACTTCATTTATCAACAATCACTATAATTTATCACAGAATAAATATCTGTCGTGGAATAGCGAGAGGAGTAGATATTTTCGAACGGAAATTTGCAAAGTATTATTATGTATGAACGTTGATATAAGTGAACGTTTCGAATTTTCAGTCAAAATATGTTAGTATTTCAGTTTCTTTAATGGTTATCTTTGAGTTTTCTATCTTGGTTGAAGCTGCGGGATTAATTTTTTGGAAATTGACTATATTTACCATAAATTTCTGGTTCCTTCTCAATTTCAGCGGACGGCATAAACGAGGTCCCAGGTCTGGGTTCAGCTAAAAAAGAGTTTGAATGAAAGTTGAATTATTTAGAAGCAAAATGTTCGATATATAGGTTAAATTTAGAATTCTAGCGTGGAATGAATGTTGTGATCGAAGTTTTCCCTAAAACCAGCAAAAAAGTACGTTTGTTCGAAGGTGGTTGGCAATGTTTCCCGATGAAGCAGTGAAAGCACTCGAATGACCTATAAATAGTCGGATCTCGGAGGAACAAGTCCAGTTATCACCCGAAGACGACCGTGGATACTAAAAATCAAAACGTCGTGAAGTAACTTGGTTTGGAATCTTTTAATTCTTAATTTTCACATCTTGTTAATACTTTTTTTAATTTGCTTCTCGTGTTGATAGGTCATTTTTTTTAATTTTTCGGTTGTTTCTTATATTTTATTTCATTGTCATTTCAGTTGTTTGCCTTATATAATTGTTATTTTTCAGCTAATCTTTTTAATTTTTACAGATTCTTTCAGGGATATCAAATCAATTTATATCATATTGAATGAATTTCATTTGTGAACAATCAACAATTACTATTATCAATCACAGAATAAATCCTTGTAGAAACTCGAAAAAATATCCGTCGCGAAATAGGTCAGAGTAATAAGTGTTTTCGAGCAGAAATTTGCAAATTCCTATTGTGTTTGAACGTTGATAGAAGTAAACGTTTCGTATTTTTAGTCAGAATGTGATAGTATTTCAGTTTCTCTAATAGTTTTCTCTGAATTTTTAGTTTCAGTAAAAGCACTGTCGAGTTTAATTTTCTGTAAAATGACTATATCTACCGTATATTTCCGGTTCGTCTTCAAAAGCAGCGGGCGACATGAACGATGTTCCAGATCTTGGTGCAGCTGAAAGCAAATCGGTTGATTGAAAGTTGGATAATTTAGACTTTGAACATCTGGCGTGAAATGAATCTAATGAATGACCACAATCAGACCATTTTCTCCATGAGAAAAAGTCTCTAGTTGGAGTCATTATCGACTCTCAGAAAGATGTGCTTGAAATATGATGACTGTCAATCACAAACATACGGTAACTACTATGAAGTACTTCAGGGATCCATCTTGGGACCTCTGATGTTCCTGCTCTTCATCAATGATATGTGAGAACATGTTAATACAAACCAAATAATTCTATATGCATACTACATAACACTTGCTGCGAATGCCGTTAGCCCGGAGGAGCTCCAAGTTAAACTTGATGAGCTGTCTGTCGAATTCACAGAATAGCGCCGCAGAAACTAATTAGTTGTGAATTCCAGTGGGACTATTTAAATGCAGTTCTACTCCTGGACTATCAGGAAAATTGCCGATTTTCGAGTCAGAGTAAGGAGTAATGATGTGATTTCGTTAGACAGTACTGAATTCGTTGGTACCTATGTTGATAGCAACATGACTTGGGAGTCGGGTGTGAATCAGGTCAGAAAGAAAGTGAACTGTGGTTTATAAGGCAACTTTCATCCACCTTCAGTACTGATCAGTTTTGAATGATTATTATGGTGTCATTTATTCTCAGGACTCTAATATTACTGTATGAGAAAACGTAAAAAAGAATTTCAAACGAACGCTGAAAGAATTCCTGATTAACGTATCCCTCAACAGTGTTGCTGAATATCTAAGTCGATGAGAGGGTTTTATATTATATTATATATTCACTATATTTTAATTTTCTTTTGTGTTTGTGTGACACAGTTTCATTTCAATAAAAAAACAACTTCATTTGTGATTCATCAACAATTACTATCATTTCTCACAGAATAATCCTCATAGATACTTGTAGAAACTTGAACAAATATCTGTCATGGAAAAAACCTCGGTGGATAATAGCATTATCCTGAGGTGGATTAAAGGGCACGGCAGGAGAAAAGGTAATTGCATTACCGACTCTTTAGCCAAAGAAGCGGCTGGACTGAGAATTTTAGGACCCAGTGGCATCTACGGCCTGATAACTTCGACAATTGCGGAACTAGCCAAACGTCACACCCATGCTCAATCCCTAAAGGGATGGGATGAAATCAAAGGATGCAATCTTGCCAGGATCACCCTTGGCGACCCTGGGAAGCTGGCGCCGAAGAAATATCTGGTGATGACCAGGAAAAATCTACGCTTAACAGTAGGATTTCTGACTGGTCAATGTCAACTAAGGAAATACCTCCACAATATGGGGCTAGTGGATACACCTCTGTGCAGGATGTGTGAACGAAAGATGAGACTGTCAGGCATGTCCTATGCGAGTGTCCGGAGTTATCGTCAATAATAGAATGTGTGTTCGGTGAGTCTTGGCCTACACCTGCCGATATAAAGGAGATGTCTCCCAGTGACCTGTCCACCTTCCTGGAAAGGACAGGATGGACGATGACCTAGAAGGACAACTCCTCGGGAGGATGTACAATGGGTCACATGTGGCCTAAGTGCTGTGGGCTTACAGTCACCCTCCCTAATCTACAGATACAGATCTGTCATGGAATAGTCCAGAAGAGTAAGTGTTTTCGTATGAACATTCGTTAAAGTTAGATTGTGACAGTATATCAGTTTCTTAAATAGTTTTCTGTGAATTTTCAGTTTCAGTAAAAGAACTGGCGATATTGATTATCTGTAAAGTGACTATATTTACCGTATATTTCCGGTTCGTCTCCGATAGTAGCGGACGGCATGACCGGTGTCCCAGGTCTTGGTGCAGCTGAAAACAAATTGGTTGATTGAAAGTTCAATAATTAAGGACTTCATCATCTGGCGTCAAACGAATCTAATGGATGAACTCCTTCCAAAAATCGGAACCATGAGGAAAACGGCAAAACTAGAAATCTTTTTCTCTGGTGATTACGGAAATGTTTTCATTAGAAGCATAGTTTCTGTCTCATTTCAATTAAAAAACAATTTAATTTTTGAATCATCATCAATTACTATTATTTGAGAAGTAGAATTGTTAACCTCCGATGTGATATGTATGTACACACCAGAACATCATATCCTGATGATGCTATCTTGGTTAGCAAAACGCGCGTCGAGAGACACTATTTTTGTTCTGGTGTGGTAAGTGTATTTTCAATAAGAAAATTAATGTATATAATATTCGCGGCTTCATTTTATATAGCTTCAAGTGTCTATATTTACCTAACGCCTCGTGCTCTCCATCAATGGCACGGTCCGGCATCCACGAACACCCAGGTCTTGGATTATCTAAAAAACATATCACATGGTTATTAAATCATTCATACTCACTTCGCATACACTAGAATGAAATCATTCGGGGAATATTAGCATGGCCCAATTTTTCAAGGACAAAACACAAGCTCTAGTGATCCTTTTCAATTACTTAACGGACTGGAATCTATTCTCTCTGAATTACCTTCAAAAGCAAATATTATTTTAACTGGAGACTTAAATATTAATTACACAGAACAAAATTCAAAAGCAACACAGTTTTTAATTTATTTATTGCAAACATATAACTTGGAAATGCACGTGAAATCTCCTACACGTGTGTCTCAATTTACCGAATCCACCATAGATTATTTTTGTGCAAATTTAGACTCCGAGCTAGTTTCTTGTGATGTTCTTTCTTCTGGATTGTCAGATCACGAAGTAGTTTATTCTAAGGTGTATCTCAATCTTAATGTGAAAAAATCGAAATTTAAGTTAGGACGATTGTATAGTTCTGCTAATTATAACAAGTTCTCTAACTTGAATCATCTGAATGGAATCATATAGAATTTTCTGAAGACCCTTTGCTTGATTTTTATAATAAATTACTTTATATATTTGATAAAAGCTTTCCGGTTCAAAAAATCAATTTTATACACAAAAACAAAAATTGGTTGACAAGAGGTATTAGTGTTTCGGCAAAAAACATGAGGGTATTACATTATTTGAGAAAATTTACATCTGCTCCATTTTTTCTTAATTACTTCCACCGCTATCGCACCATTTACAGAAATGTAGTTAAACTAGCTAAAAGCAAATATTATAAAAGTAGAATGGATAAAGCTACGAATAAATCAAAAGGAACTTGGTGTATCATTAATGAACTTACTGGCAAGAGACACAAAAAATTTGTAGACTAAGACATTCCGTTTTCTTCTACTGAACTTAATGACTTCTATTGCTCTATTGCGGAGGACTTGACGAAAAATATAAAAGCAGCCGGTGACCCCTTAGACTATGTGAATATCGAAGTTACGAACACCTTTATATTATATGAAGATTTATGGACTTCTGGCAGAATTTTCCAGGATTGGCTTACTCCAAGGCGTTTATTCACCCTGCGAAACTTGATACCAAACATTTGTTGAACTACAGTAGGGATGAACTACGATGTGTAACAGGCCTTCTTACAGGTCACTGTCATTCGAATCATCATTTGCAGAGACTCGGACTGTCGGAAGTCGGCGTGTGTCGCCTCTGTTTGGAAAAATGATGAAACAGCAGAGTACATACTTTGTGCCTGCCCCGCTGAGGACCGAATCAGGTTTTTAAAGTTCGGCAGAGCCGTACTCTTATCATCTGACCTGAAAGACCACTCACCATACAAACTAATCGGCTCTGTTAAGAAGCTGGGTTTATTCGACCGAGTGTGAATAGGTGTGAGCCACAATAAACCCTTATGGGTTGCGGTGGAGGGTCGAATAGACCCACTCACTTTGGACATAACGTAACCTAAACTAGAATGGATCGATGTGTCTTGGTTAATTATTAGGGTGATTATATGTATTATCCATGAAGATAATTATAGAATTATCACAATACGTTTTATTCGAGACGCGATTCGCTACACTGTAGCTTCATCAGTTGAACTGACCCAGTAAGCGGATAACCCTACGAATGTTGATGTTAATAATGCTTCGTTTATAAATGAAGTTGACCAAAAATCAACCTCGATAAACTGGAACTTCGAAGTACGCGACAATTTAGCGTTGACCATCTCGAACTCTCTCATTTGGAGAACGGCTCATGATGAACTGAACTTTCCTGGACCGTTTTTCCGGAATATTATTTCAAAATTAAGGTTTAATCATTTTTTAACTATATTTATGACCTCACCATTATCAAATCTCATTCTCTTGGACGAACTTGGTCCATCTTCAGATTCTGAAAAAAAAAAAATGAAAAATTAATTTGGTGAATAGTTAGTGAAAAGTTTTGGTTGATGTGAAACTGAAAATGAACACTGTGAGTGAAGACACGCTCGAAGAAGCCATTGTATGGCGAAACACGTGTTGTGTTTTTGTAAAATCGTTTAGTGAAAATTTCACAATAAAATGTTTTTTGAATACGTTAGTTATGAATTTTCATCAAGTATCGGCCAATTCCATCATATATCTCACAAAATAAATTCTTATAGATATTTCTTGATCGTCGTTGCCAGAATTTTTTTGTGTGAAGAATCTTTCCAAATGTCTGTTGAGGAGTTAGCCGGTAAAGCAGTTGTTTTCAAGCGGGATTTGTAAATTTCTACTGTGTATGAATGTGGGGTGACCATTTAGAATTTTTATTCAACTTGTACTTCCTTCAAATCCTAACATAGTTTTCAATGTTAGTTTTCAGTTTCAGTAAAAGCACTGACGAGATTCATTTTCAAGATAGTGACTATATTTACCGTATATCTCCGGTCCTCGTTCAATAGCAGCGGAAGGCATAAATGGGGTCCCAGGTCTTGGTACAGCTGAAATAAAACTTGCTTATATGAAAGTTAACTACTTACAAGCATAATGATCCAAGTGTTACTTGGATAAATGTGTTTTATTTTTCAGCTCGGAACAGTTTTATAATATTACTCCCTATTGATTTGTAAATGTCATCAATTCAGACAAATATGTATCTATTAAATTATGGTTAAAATCTGTTTTTCCGTTTACCAGCTGTCGCATCCCTAATAACGACAACTCTCAGAAGTCGAAACTTGTGCGATCTAAGGACTTACGAGGTCTTACCTTTCAACGTGTGATTCCTAAATATAACCTACATATTATGTCAATATTCGTAGTCGCTAACAGTTGACTAAAGGTAGAGATACCTATTCTTTTAGATTCTGAAAAATGTGATAGTTTTTTATGAGGAAGTGTCTATATTTACCGTTTGTGGTGGAATCAGGCTCCATGCATGGCGTACCAGGTCTTAGTGTCCCTAAAAAAAAGTTTTGGTCAAATTATATGGAACTATTCATAAGATTGTTTTATTTTGCTTGAAAAACTGATATTACAACAAGCGATACGAAGAAATTGGCAATGATCTTGCAGTGTTTTCCTTGGTTCGTTTTATTTTCAAACGTTTCCGATAGATGTCAAAAACTCCTTCGATTTTGAGTTCTGAAGAGGAAGGCAAATACTAGCTTTCGGTTAGTATAGGTAAAACTTTCAAATACTGCAAGTTACTTATAAATAGAATACTTTGAATTTACGCAGTAACTTATCGGGATGAAGAAAAGAGTTTGCCTTTTTTACACCTCTATGTGGTACTTCATTACAATTTATAATTTTTTTTCATATTGTAGAAGGTTAAAAAATCCAAAAAAGGTCGATAAAAAACTCTGATTTTATTCACAAAACATGACTTTCCTTCGATATTAGAGGTTTCATACTCTCTCGCTAGATTCATTAAATTACGGGGGAGGACCGTTTTGTTTGAAGTGTTTATATTTACCGAATGAACCTTGTCCATTATTGGTAACACCGTCTTGCATCCAGGATGGCCCAGGTCTCGGATTATCTAAAAAACATGTTGAGTTGAGTGATAATAGAATTATTATAGGTAACATTTGCGTCAAAGTTACTTTTGCTAAACACGCCTCATTATTTTATATTCTTTTGTATTTGTAAAAAATATTTATATCTGGCAAATCTGGCACGGCATTCTCACGGGTCTAAATGTCATTACACAGAATTGCTAAATGTTACCAGGACCATACATATTCTGCGTTAGGTTAGATTAAGTTAAGTTGGGTTAGGTTAGGTTCAACGAGACTCAGACAAAGCCTGAAGCTAGCCAATTACAGGTTCTGATTCGACTAAACGTATGCACCACCCCCTATTTCAAGAAAGTCAGCAGTTTCTTTACCTTCCAAGAGAGTGTGGCCAAAATAGAGTTTCTAAAATGAATCTTTCCATTTAGGAGAGTCTTCGTTGTGTATTCCATGACAATTTTCATGTTGCTTAGTGAGAGCCGGATACTTTCAGAGTCCTTTCACTCTCTAAATATATTCTGAGTGCTCTCACTTCAGGTTATCACAAGGAAGAACTACGAGTTATCCTAAATTTAGTAGAAGTTATAGTTTATGTAACTGATAATTGTCACTGATGACTTCAGCAGTCGGTGCCAGAAAAAAATTATCATGCGGAAGAGCCTGTTTAATTTTTCATAGGTTTCAGAATAGGAACTACCAATAATTATATTTACCGTATGGATCAAGTTCAATATTCATGAAAGTTGGTTGTACCCATGATGGCCAGGTTAACGGTCCTTCTAAAAAGTAAATTGATTAAATAAGAATCAAATCATTAAGAGGCATAACGTTCAGTTGAATTTCAATTAAAAAAATCATATTCTATCAACTTTCAGGTAACCAATAAAAAACAACTCGTTGTACTTAGGTCCGCTAATTTTCAGTATCTTCAATTTTTTGATTTTAAAATTAAATTCATTTTCATTCAATTAGTTTTTCCTCAGGTTTCAAATCTGTTAACACCTTTTTTAGGAGATGAAAATACGAGTTACTAACTTCTCATATACAGGACGTTTCAACGAAAACTTGACCCGCCCGTAAGTCAGAAACGGACGTTTATCGAAAATTTCAAAGAACACATCAATTTTTATTTCTAGGGGACCTAATTCTGATATGAAAATCTTACCTGAAACTTCACCCTCTGCGGTCAACAATTACCTCCTTATTTTTCTCAATGGCATGGGGGGTCGAGTGATACATCATCATCGAGTGATACTTTTGTCTCTCCATCACTTCGAAATTGGTTTATTCTTTATTGGGAAATTAAATGTTGAACATTTTATTTAAGAAAAACAGAAAATTCGCTGTCGTTCATTTTATTGAGGAAATCAACAAAAGTAATGTCAATGGCAACACAACCAACGGATAAAGTATTCAAAATGACCTCCATCTAGTTCCATACAATAATACAGCAGCAAGAGAGAGAGAAAGAGAGTTGAAATTCTCACCAAACCAATTTGGTTTTAGAGGGGGGATGGATACTGTCATGGCAGTAGAGAGAATGATGAATAGAATAAGAGAAAATAAGAGAGGAAGGAGACATAGTCTGGTTGTGGCGTTGGACCTGTCAAACGCCTTTAATACCGCTTGGGCACCGGCAATTGAGGTGAGTCTGAGGCGAATGGGAATGCCGGAAAACGTGGGGAGGACATGTATGAGTTTCCTAGGGGAGAGAACAGTCACCTGTGGCACAGGTGACAAGACAAGGCATTGGAGCAGGCAGTGCAGGCCTACGCGGATGACCAGCTTGTCATCATTGAAGGTGACTCCGTCGAACGCATAGAGGATAGATGGAAGTTGGTATGGGAGGAGGAGATGTGGCTGAGCTACAACGAAAAGACGACGGAGTGCATGTACATACCAACTGGTAAGAATGAAAGACCTCCGGTCCTAGAAATGAATGGGAGAAGTATGGAAATGAAAACGAGTGTTAGGTACCTCAGAATTGTGGTGGACACTGGATTATTGTTCATAGACCACCACAAGGAAGTGAGGAAGAAGCTGAGTGAGTTGGCAGGAAAAATGAGAAGATGGACCGGGAGAAATATTGGATTGAAGAGAGAATGTGTGAGAGTGATATATGAAAGGGTAGCCAAACCTGCGGCTCTGTATGGAGTACAGGTGTGGGGGAATAGAGTACATGACAGCAGGGTGAGAAGACAGCTGAGTGCGGCTCAAAGCCCGTTTCTGTTGGCATCGTGTGGTGATTACAGAACGACGCCAACGGCTGCACTCAGTGTCATCACCGGAATGGCGCCATTACAGGTAGAGGGATGGGCCAGGTACCAAGAATGGAGAGAGAATGGGAGACGGAAGACTGAGGACAGGGTGAAAGGAGTCGATAGAATATTCCTCTGGCTGCAACGGGAGTTGCTAGAGGAGAGGGAGGACGAAGGGGTGATTGAAGTATACGTAGATGTTGGGGCGAAGATAGAGGAAGAAAGAATGGGGATAGGTTGGGCATACAAAAGAGGAGAGGATGAATGGATCAAAGGGAATGTCTCCGGACAAAGCAGCGTGAACGAGGCAGAGCTGATTGCGATGGTCGAGTGATCGGCATGTGGGACATGGAAGAGAGCGTGAAAGTAGTCAGTGACTCTGCAACGGCGGTAGAAAGAGTGAAAGCAGGGAGAGTGGGGAGTAAAAGGGCAGCGATAATTCAGCGGATGATTGAGGAAAGGCATGGAAGAGGAGCACGTACCCTGATTATGTGGAGGAGGGGGCACGACCGGGACAATGAAGGAAATGCGAAGGCGCATAAAGAAGCCACCAAGGGAATGGATAGAACAGAAATTACATGAGAAGTGACAAAAAGTTGCAGTAAAAGAGATGAGAGGAGGAAAATAAAAGAGAAGATTAGTAGAGAATGGCAGAGAGAGTGGGAGAGAGGGACGACTGGGCGGCTGTTCTACAGGTTCTGCAAAATAGTCGGATATGAATATCTGGATCTGTCGCGGAAGGCTGTCCAACTGCTCACTGGGCATGGGAACTTTCCGGGATACCTGGCGAGATTTAACCTGGGCCCGGAGGTTCCCTGCGCCTGCGAGTACGGGGAGCCTGAAACGGCAGAGCATGTGATTGACAGATGCATGAACGGGGACAGGATTGGATGGCGAGAATGGAAGGAGAGGACTGAAAGGACACGCGGTGAAATCATTTTGAGAGATACGAATGGGAAAAAGGATGAATGGATACGTTTCGTTAATGAATGGGCGGAGAACGTGGTGAGGGAAGAAAGGGAAGGATAGACGTGGTAGCTGCACTCAAGCCAGCGTGGAAATAGAAAAGGAGGGGATATTGAGTTCGTCAATCATGGCTTGAAACGATACCGCTAGATTGTAAACAAATTCAAGAAGGTGCAGTACACTATTGTTCATATAAAACAAATATAGGGGTTGGGATTTGATGTTACGAGAATATTTCATTTTTGTTTGTTAGTTAAGGATGAAAATGTTAAGTTATGATATGTAATGCTTTTTGGGAAACAAAATAAAGAGGGTCTTCTACCCCGCTGATTCGCCTCCTCGTATGGCCGTTGCCTTGCAGCGGTGGTACGGGGAGGGGGTGAGTTCGGAGGAGTAGGGATTCCCTTGACAGCGGTGGCGTTAGATAATGGGAAGATGCCTGATGCAAGGCCTACGGGCTAGGACATCCAGGGCAAAGGCGTTATTCATATCCCTTCTTCACGAATTATTATTCAGTCATCCTTGTTCACTGTGTTCCAACATGGTTTATTCTGCTGAAGAAAGAATAGAAATTGTTGCAACCTATTATTGAAATAAGGAATGTGCTGAAGCTGCTGCAAGAATTTGTAATACGAATCATCCAGACCACAAAGTGAGCCATCAATACGTTGTTAATGGATAAGTTTCGAACTTCAAGCTCTGTTCAGAACAGAAAACATGAAGTATCCCGTCCTGTCAGAGTTGAAGTTGCAGTTTCACAAATGGATGTACAAATGGATAATCGACAATCCATCATACAAGTAGCTAGAGCGTCTGGTGTATCAGCTACAAGTGTTTTTCGGATTTTGAAAGCCTACAAATTTCATCCTTTCAAAATAAGGCTAGTTCAGGAATCAAACGAAGATGATTCTGATCGTCGACTTCAGTTCTGTGAGGTGTTTAGCAAGAAATTGACCAATAATCCAAACTTACTATACCATACATGTTTTTCAGACGAAAGTTCTTTCATGTTCAATGATGGCATGGCACAATGATGGCACAATACAGGCATTTCAATGTCTAGGTGAAAGTTACTCATTCAAGATAATTGAAATTTATTAATTATGTATGTCATACAACAAATTGTATATTAACATGGAATAAATAAATTTGATTTGATTTGATTTGATGAAGTGAATAGACATAATTGTCGTTACTGAAGCGATGTCAATCCTCATTTGATGATGGAAACACATTTACAAACTCCACAAAAATTGAATGTCTGGGCCGGCATTCTCGACAATCATATTGTAACGAATTAAAGAATAAATTGTCTTAAACAAATTTATTTCTAACAATATTTCACTATCACAACTAATTTATATACAACACTTAGCAACTAACGCTTAATTTATCTTTACGGTTAGAATCCTTTCTTTAAACGCACGATTCACTTTCTAGATACAGACTCCCTCTATGGACGGGAAGCAGGGCTTATATACCGCTAACGATATTTCTAGATTAATCTAGAGGTCTCTGCACTCGCCTAGTATTTTCCCGGCGAGTCAGACCGCTTCTTTCGTGGTGATGTCATGGGTTTGCTAGCTGATATATCGGTCAGGGCCGGCTTCAGATTCATTACAATATTGTTGGAGGACCATTATTCATTGAAGGTAATCTCAATGGAGACACATACTCAAATCTTTTACAAGACTGTGTGGATCCTATGATTACACAAATTTTAGAAAATGACAATTTAGTAGAAAATGAAATAATATTCCAGCAGAACGATGAACCCCCACATTTTGATGTTCGGGGAAGACAGTTTTTGACGAACGTTTTCCAATGCAATGGATCGGCAGAAGGGGTCCAGTGGAGTGGCCAGCTAGATCACCCGATCTCACACCGATGGACTTCTTTCTGTGGGGACACCTGAAGTCGAAAGTGTACTCTACTAAGTCTACAAATCTAGAAGACCTGCGACAGAGAATTGTTCAGGAATGCCGATTTCTACTCCGAACATCTTGAATAATGTACGGAACGCTTTCGAGAGTGAACTGTATTATTGTATGGAATTAGGTGGACGTCATTTTGAACAATTTATCCGTTAATTTCGTTTTCACTGATATTATTTGTTGTTGAGTTCCTCATTGAAATGAACGCCAGCGAATTTTCTGTTTTTTCTTAAATAAAACGTTCAACATTTAATTTCTCCATAACGAATGAAACAATTTCGAAAAAAACTACAGAGGTACTAGGGGGACAAAAAACTCTCAAATGATGTATCACTCGACCCCCATGCCATTGAAAAAAATAGGGGGGCAGTTGCTGACCATAGGGCGGTGAATTTTCGGGTATGATTTTCATATCAGAAATAGTCCCCCAAGAAATAAAAACTGACGTGTCTTCTGAAATTTTCGATTATATGTCCGTTTCTCACTTACAAGGGATCAAGTTTTCGTTGGAATACAGTCTCGAGCTATTTGGATTGACTTTTCAAAAGCATTTGACTATTTTGGAAAGAAGCTTTTTAGCTTCTCCATCATCAAACAAAAAGTGTGTGAAACTTTCAAACAAAGGAAAGAGAACGAATAATTACAATAAAAACTCTTTATTAAGTTATGTGGTGCATTCACAGAAGTCTCTTTCAGATAAGAACTGGAATAATGCTTCACAAACAACTACTTTCATCACAACATTGAATTATTTTCCTTCCTTTCTTTGGAAGTTTCCCTCATTTTTTTTTCAATGATGGAGAGATAGAAAGCCAAAACATTCTTTCCAAAAAACTATATCTGCTAACAATATTCTTTTTTCAATTCAGATGAAATTGCTGTGACTGGAATCAATTAAATCGATTTGTTCCGAAACTTCGAAGGACACCACCGAGGATGATAATATTCCATATGAGTGACATATAATCAATACTCTTTCGCGAGATTCAAAATTCATGTGAAAGCAGTTTTTACGAATGGGTTTTTTCTCCCAGTTTATTTAAAAAAAATCTGTCAATGTATAACATATATTTATGTACCAAGTTACAAAGAAAGGTAAACACCAATTTATATTGAAAATATTTCAATAATTTTCCACTTACATACTTGACAGATAATAGCAAACAAACGTGTAAGTTTTCAGAGAAATTGGATGATCGTGAAACCAGTGAAGTTCAGTAGTGTGTTGCAGATCCTCGATGTCTTATACACTCGTGG